AAACGGTCTTTGTATTGCCTTTGGAGAGCTCCGAAAATCCCAGCTCCGCCTCTTATTTGAGACTTCACTCTAATTTTATCTCTAAAAATATCTCATGGAAAATATTTATATGATTACCAGAAGAAAGCTAGAAGAAAAATCTTTTTCAGAATACACAATAATTATCAAATCAGTCAGCGACGGAAAAGAAAGTCGATTTCTTGAGTTTCCTCAAGCTACTTACACTGATAACGCACTACTGCAAACAGTCGCTGATATCAACGAGCCCACCAAACTAACCCTCATAATCACAACCGAGTCAGGAGTCGGATTCGAACACGAGATACGACTAAACACGACTGATGTCGTGCCTATTATTAAGCATCAGCCTTTTGTGTTGTACCAGCAAGTCGATTTTGAAGATCTAAAAGCTGGAGGCTGGTATCAGTTTATAGTCACAGCTTTCAGTAAAGGGACGAAACCTATGACCCGGACTTACAAGATTACCGAAGTGGCGTTTCCGGATGTTCCGGTACAATATTCATACTCGCCAACTGTGGACACTACATACATAGATATTGGGTTTTATGTCGTGGGTGTTTATCATGGCTGGTACCTCAAGTAAGTTTGGTCTATTCCCGCTCAAATGTTGAAATGACAACATTCTTCTCATTCAAATTGCCTGATCAAATTATAAGTGAACTTTTTTCTGAAGCTGATTAAAATTAAATAGCATGTTAAAAATTCTACTGTATACGCGTTCATACACTGAAATCGCAACTCGAATAATACAACTTTCAAACACAAAATAACATTCCCCCCTCCCACACACACACGCGCTTTTCAAAACTTCCATGTTCAGTTTACTTTTACATGCTTTATTTTATCCTACAAGTATAAAGAACAAATGTGCTAAGAAAAATTAATGTTCACCATGCGAGCTTTCAATTCTTTATGACAACGTTTGTTTAATTTTTCAAAGTTTAAACTCATATGTGGGGGGAGGGGGGGGGGCGAATTTTGGATTCAAATATTGGATTTTTGGATTTGGGGATTGAATCTTGTGATTCAATTTTTGCTTTTTTTAGATCCGTTCAATTCATAAGCGCACTGATTGTGTCAAAGGCAGCAAATATATAATATGAAATTCATCATTAATTTTTGTTAAGCTCCACCTCCGGAACCTGTAACGTGCCTTGCCATCTGGAAAGCTGGTTGAGTGACCATACTGTTACTGGCTTAACGCCTGGATCTTTATTCACCGCAACAATACAGGCGTTCGTAGACTACCCTGGCTTTGCGAGGCGGTTCGGGAACCCACTTGATGTCGAAGAGGTGGTTGTCCCGACGACGCCCTGGAAAACTGACGAGCCTGTTTCGGACTCCACGACATCGGCTACTGTTTATTTTGATACATCTGACATACGAGCGGGATTCCTTGTGACGTAGGTCCAAACTGTTTGGAAGTTTTACATATTCCCTTAATTTATTTCCAAGCATTCAAGAGCTTCCATTTTAAACTATGAAAGCTGATGTTGCAACTAAACTTTTTATAAAACCTTATGGAATAGTATTTTCAAACGCTGTCTCTATATAAAATGATTGAACAAAGTTAGTGTTTCTTCATTGTAAAAGAAACGATAGTTTTAGATTGTAAATTCAAAGCAAACTTGCCAAAGCAATTAAAGAAAAGTTTTTCAAAATTAAGCAATCCAATTGAAATCATCTTGCTAAGTTTTACTCCTTGAACATTCAAATGAACAAAAATTTATTTTCGTTAACAAGTAATATTATTTCGAGCGAACAAAAATGGTTTTCTTGTGTGAACAAGAACAGTTTTGCTGTGTTTTGTAGGAGTTCCGATGGTAGCTGTTCCGGAACATGCGAGCACGGCATATCAGTTGCACAAAGTTTCCAAATAACAGAAGCTACCGCGGGTACCCTTTTAACTGTAACTATCCAGGCATTCAGCGATTACCCCGGCCACCCCAGACGAATCAGTGGTAACCTCACTATTGAACACATGATGCCAAGTGCTTCAATTAGGCAAACAGCTCCGCCCACTTCACACTCAACAAGCGTCCGTCTTTTCTTTTCCGGTTCCGGTTCAGAAGAGGGATATAGTTTAACGTACGTATCTGGAATTGCAACTTTTAATGTGATTTTTTAAAGTCGAAACATATATAGCCCACTTTCCAAACGAACTAACGTATAAATCAGGGGCGGATTTAGAGGAGGGGCGGACGCACCCCCCCCCCCCCCGCTCTCCTCTCAGAGATTCGACCCCCTGCCGACGCAAAGGGTCACCAAGTTGTACTATTATGGGATATCGATTTTAAAAAGTGGGTCAATCAATTATTGTCGTTTGCAGTTGTATTAAAAACGAATTAAAAGACAAAAAAGCACAAATTAAATTGAATTAAAATTTGCTTGAAATGAAAATGATTTTTTTTTGTATGTGTGAACGTTTTTACTGGAGACATAATATGTTTAGCCAAGGAAAAAACGATGTTTTCCTTGATCAAATTCAAGTTTTTTAAAATTATAATGGCTACTGGCTTGCTGTATCTGCTCAAAGTGTGGTTAAGATTCAAAACTAGCAAACCCGTGTTCTCGACATTGGTATTTTTTGGAAATTTTTAATGCCATATGAATCACTACAGAAAAAGTTTTCATATTATAATTATCTCGATCATCTGACGTTTTGATTTCAACCTGATTTTCTATGAAACAAAACACCGATATTGGCACATTTTGCTTCATTTTTGTTATGACCAATTCATGAAAAAGGAAAATTTTTGGAAATTTGTGAAAAAAAAGTACTGGATCGCTTTCTGCCTCACATTGTACGGATCTACTTAACAATCGCCGTCCTTTTGATGTCTAGTAAAAAAGTGTCACCCCAATAAATAAAAGCTGTAAATTTTAGCACTAAAGCGTTTTATTTAAAACTCGAACTCTGCTGGATGCTGATTGGTCGAAAATTCGACTGGCTTAATTGACTTAAGAATTGCGCCCGCACCCTTTTTTTTAAAAGCGGTAATTGTTAAGTAGTTTTGGGGTATTTTTTCCTTAAAAAATTTAAATTTTTTGACTAGCAATTTTGACGGAAATTTTTTTTACTTTATTCGAAAATTTATGAAAATGAAAAAAATGAAAACCTGCTTTTTCCACTCAAGTTTTCCGAAATTTTTAGATGCACCCCTTGTAGCGATTATTCAAAATTAAATAATTATTGAAATAAAGTGACATGAAAAATATAATGTTTTTTTTCGGTTTTTATTGTTTTTATGCATTTTTCAGTAAAGGTTGGGAGACAAATTTAAATCTTCCAATAATCAATATCTCGCTGTTAATAAGTATATTCGTCTTGAAAGTCTGTTATTGAGATTTTTGCGAATTTTTCAAGCGGTGAACTTGCGGTTCCTTACTCTTAAGCATCTGATTTTGCTTGAAAATATTTTCTAATTCATAATTTTTCTTCTCCGCGATAGTAGTGGAATAATACAAGTCATGCAACCTTGGGCCAAATTAGCACAGCAAGCATCTGTCTTTTTTAGCACAGACAGTGGCTCTTGTTCGACTTCGCCTTGCGATTATCCAGCTACGACCACTCAAATCGACGTAACCAGCCTGACTCCGGGGTCCTTGCTCGTTGCCAACATTCGGGGATACGTCAACACTCCTAGTTCTGGGAGAAATTACGATGAGTTTTTGACCATCACCCAGCCAGTGCGTCCTCACCGTGCAACGTTGACGACTAGTCCTATCTCTACTTTTGACAGCATTACTGTGTACTTTACAATATTGCATATCAGATCAGGATTTTTTATAGAGTAAGTTCCTTTATTTTTGATGAGTTTAGTTGAGTTGAGAAATCACAAATTTCACAGAAAACAAATGCGTAATTACTTTTATAGTGCATCTTATCGAAATGTGCAATAAGTAGCTGACACTCCGTTTTTCTAGAAATTAAAACCCCTCACAATAACTAGACAGTAGTATTGTATCGTGTCCCGGATCCTAAGGGGGTTCCTTCCTAAGGGGGGGGGGGTTCCTCATGTAAAACAAAATCCTAGGAAAGCAAACTTAATTTTTTGGAGGACCCTCATCCTAGGATTTTGTAAACGAAAGAAATTTTCCACCAAAAAAGCATAAGACCCCCTACCTAGGATCTTGCTAAGCTTAGCTTAACAACAAGGGACACGATACAAAATTCTTTCTAATTCCAATTTTTGTGGTCCTAATTATTTCTCCTGGCTAATATATACCATAAAAATCAATTCCCCAATCACTAACAAATTTCAACTAGGTCGAAAGTTAGTTTGCCCGAAACAAATTAAACAATTAATATGATTCATCTAACTAACTTTCGACCTAGTTGAAATTTGTTAGTGATTGGGGAATTGATTTTTATGGTATATAATAAAAGTTCGCCGGAGATTTTGACAGCGTAGGTTAACTGTTAGCAGCAGTAAACTACTTCCTTAACTTGACCTATATTTTATGGTGAAAAGGCAGTAAATTGAAATATCTCTCCAAAGGTGGCGGCCGTTTCTGGGCAACTTATAGCAAAAGAGAAACTTGCCAAATTTTGAAACGAGAAAAATGAAATTAGAGAGAACTTGTTGTTTTTAAGATATTGATATTAAACTTGTACAATTTAGAGGGCTTTCAACCATACAAAAAATTCAAAGTTCCAAACCGGGGAAAAACAGTATGCTGTGTTTCTCTAGAGAAAAATGAAAGTTTCAATGGGGAAAGGACGAGTAGAAAAAGGAAAAGAGGAAAGAAAAATGCAAAAATGCACCGAGCTTTTGCCAAAAACTTGGTGCATTTCTACAAAACAAAAAAGTTTCCGAAAGTTCAGATGGTTATTTACCGCCGGAAACTAGACAAGTCTAAAAGTATCTCCTTGGTGTCTTTTATCTCCATTGGCTGAAATTTAGCAGCTTGGAGAGGCGTTGGAAAAAACATTGAAATTAGGAAAAACTGAGTTACTGCAATTGATTTCGAAATAATTCAAGAAATGTATACGACCTTAACACAAACTTATTATGACAGTTCTAAGGAAGAAAATTTTGCAAGCTTTTTCTCATTCTTTTTTTGTTCTAATAACCTTATTTGTGACATTTCAATTAAGTTGCGACCTTATGGTGATTTAATTGGTATGAAAAGCTGTTCCTTGGAAAAATATTTGAACGACTCCAAGTTTTTTTGATTGCACGCATTTTGCACGATGCAGCCGGATTTAAACATGAACTTATCATGGGTGTCCAAATTATTGTTATATGTTACCCGGGAACTATAACCACAGCTTTCTGGGCCATTCGAAGGGAATAAATTGAAAAACCAAAAGTCTATCATTGAATATTTTAACCGAAGAATGTTATGCAGTTAACTTTTGAACACTGGCACTATTTTAGCTCTGTCATTTGCACACCACCATATGTTTACAAACCATCAATCTCGAATAAACTTAATTTTTACTCTGCCAGAATAATGATTTGAATTTTGAGAAACAAATAACTGGAATTTCGAAAACGTTTCAGCAGTCTCTTTTCAGTTAATGGCCTTGTGAACGGTTTCACGGTTTGAATAGGGTTCAATTGAGTTGTTCAGTATTCTAGTATGCTGACTTTCTGGTTTGTCTATTTATTATTTATCAAATTATTTATTTACTTGTTTGTTTTATGGCTTCCTTGTGCTTTACTTATTCTTTTTTGTTCAACTACTTCCTCACTTAACTTACTGTCTCTACCTAACTGTCAAATTTTACTTTTTATTTATTTCCGATTCAACCTTTTTTCACTTTGCGTTTTTTGCCCATTTGCTTAACAACTGTCATGTTTGATTTAATTCAATTTATTTAACTTTACTTTACATTACTTTACTGAAATATATCTAATTTCATACTTACTTAAGCCTACGAACTAACTTACCAACACACTGTTCACTTACATACTAACATACATACTTTTTTTGCATACAAACATACACACATACTTGGATACATACAGACAGACAAAAAAGCAAGCATACATCACTTTACTTTGCCTAATTTTACTACTTTTCTTAAGTTTAATTATTTCTTTTTACATGAGGGGGGGGGGGGGGGTCAAGCTACTGGATTTGCGCGAAGGAAGGCAAATTAAGCTCTCCAATTACGAAAATGGAAATGTTGCGAATAAACGTGAACGACTTCTAGTTATTGGCAGGGGCGGATTTAGGGAGGGGGCACATAAAGTCTCAGGGATTCGAACCCTTTCCAACCCAAAGGGTCTACCCTTCGGTACTTTTTAAGAAATCCATTCCTCAGTTAATTTACTTACTCTACCTAAGTTTTAAATTTTACTTCTTATTTATTTCTGATTCAATCTCTTTTCACTTGACGTTTTTTCCCTTTTTCTTGATAACTGTCATGTTTGATTTATTTCAATTTACCTAAATTTACTTTACATTACTTTACTGAAATATACCTAATTTCATACTTACTTAAGCCTACGAACTAACTTACCAACACACTGTTCACTTACATACTAACATACATACATTTTTTTGCATAGTTGCATACAAACATACACACATACTTGGATACATACAGACAGACAAAAAAGCAAGCATACATCACTTTACTTTGCCTAATTTTACTACTTTTCTTAAGTTTACTTATTTCTTTTTAGATGAGGGGGGGGGGTCAAGCTACTGGATTTGCTCGAAGGTAGGCGAATTAAACTCTCCAATTACGAAAATGGAAATGTTGCGTATAAACGTGAACGACTTCTAGTTATTGGCAGGGGCGGATTTAGGGGGGGCACATAAAGTCTCAGGGATTCGAACCCCTGCCAACCCAAAGGGTCCCCCCTTTGGTACATTTTAAGAAATCCATTCCTCAGTTAATTTACTTACTCTACCTAAGTTTTAAGTTTTACTTCTTATTTACTTCTGTTTCAATCTCTTTTCACTTGGCGTTTTTTCCCTTTTACTTGATACCTGTCATGCTTTGATTTATTTCAATTTACTTTACTTTAATTTACTTAAATATTCCTAATTTCATACTTACTTGAAACCTAAGAACTAACTTACCAACACACTTTTCACTTACATACTAACATACATACTTTTTTTGCATAGTTGCATACAAACATACACACATACTTGGATACATACAGACAGACAAAAAAGCAAGCATACATCACTTTACTTTGCCTAATTTTACTACTTTTCTTAAGTTTAATTATTTCTTTTTACATGAGGGGGGGGGGGGTCAAGCTACTGGATTTGCTCGAAGGAAGGCAAATTAAGCTCTCCAATTACGAAAATGGAAATGTTGCGAATAAACGTGAACGACTTCTAGTTATTGGCAGGGGCGGATTTAGGGAGGGGGCACATAAAGTCTCAGGGATTCGAACCCTTTCCAACCCAAAGGGTCTACCCTTCGGTACTTTTTAAGAAATCCATTCCTCAGTTAATTTACTTACTCTACCTAAGTTTTAAATTTTACTTCTTATTTATTTCTGATTCAATCTCTTTTCACTTGACGTTTTTTCCCTTTTTCTTGATAACTGTTATGTTTGATTTATTTCAATTTACCTAAATTTACTTTACATTACTTTACTGAAATATACCTAATTTCATACTTACTTAAGCCTACGAACTAACTTACCAACACACTGTTCACTTACATACTAACATACATACATTTTTTTGCATAGTTGCATACAAACATACACACATACTTGGAAACATACAGACAGACAAAAAAGCAAGCATACATCACTTTACTTTGCCTAATTTTACTACTTTTCTTAAGTTTACTTATTTCTTTTTAGATGAGGGGGGGGGGGGTCAAGCTACTGGATTTGCTCGAAGGAAGGCGAATTAGGCTCTCCAATTACGAAAATGGAAATGTTGCGTATAAACGTGAACGACTTCTAGTTATTGGCAGGGGCGGATTTAGGGGGGCACATAAAGTCTCAGGGATTCGAACCCCTGCCAACCCAAAGGGTCCCCCCTTTGGTACTTTTTAAGAAATCCATTCCTCAGTTAATTTACTTACTCTACCTAAGTTTTAAATTTTACTTCTTATTTACTTCTGTTTCAATCTCTTTTCACTTGGCGTTTTTTCCCTTTTACTTGATACCTGTCATGCTTTGATTTATTTCATTTTACTTTACTTTAATTTACTTAAATATTCCTAATTTCATACTTACTTAAAACCTAAGAACTAACTTACCAACACACTTTTCACTTACATACTAACAAACATAAATTTTGCATAGTTGCATACAAAAATTTACACAAATTTGGATACCTACAGACAGACAAAACAGCAACACACGTACTTATTTACTGACTTACCTTTTACTTTACTAATTACTTATTTACTTACTTTTTACTTGCTTCCTTAAATATTTACTTACTGACTTTCTTCCTTACTTAAAAATCTACTTACCCATCTCCTTTCTTATTTACCTAATTAATTTTTCGCTTACCATCATACTTTTTACTTACTGACTTACCTTTTACCCAACTAGTGACTTACTTACTTTTTTACTTGCTTCCTTGCTTAATTACTTACTGACTTACTTCTTACTTACCTACAAATCTTTTTACCCAGCTCCTTTCTTCTTTACCTAATTACTTTTTTGCTTACCATCATACTTTTTACTGACTGAATACTTGCTTGCTCACTGACTTCCTTACTTACTCCCATACTTACTCACACTTTTCATAAATACACTCATACAGTTATGTCCATTTTTTTTATATTAGTTTTCTTTATTTTAATTTATTTTACCTCAACTTTTCTTTTTTTACCAGCACTTCATCTCAGTGTA